CTATTGTTAGATTTTGGAGGCTACATGGCACTTTTAATTCTTGTTGTTCCTTTTGGTCAACCTTTTCTAGGTTTCTTAATTGGATTTTGAAGCTGCAAGCTATTTTCATTAGCTTCATCATCGATATCTATTTAACTATTAAGCTCATCCTCAAAATCATTAAGTTCATAAAAATAGCGTTGAAAAATCTCAAAAATTCACTCATCCTTTTTTTAAACCGCCTTAAGAATAACTTTTTTAGCCATTCCCATCACTTTTCCAAAGAAAAGTTTTTCATCTAAAGTAGATTTACTTATCTGCTCCCATTTATAAACATTGTTTTGTAATAAAGCCGTTAGATAAAAAATTTCTTGATTTATTTCTGGTTGCTTTAACAATTCAGTGTCCTGAAATTTAGCTGCAAATACGAAAGGTTCATGTTTTCCATCCAAGTCTCGATTTTTATACCAACGTGGTCTAATAAGTTGAATGTGAAACATTGCTGTATGTGTATGCATCATAAGACTAAAATAATGTCGGCAAACAATTACCCTTGTAACTGTTGCTAAACATGAACATAAATGGGCCGAATTGTTCATTAAAAGGATAAAATGTTTGAATTTTTGGGTATTTTGAACAGAAATACCCCAAATTTCTTTAATTTCTCTTTGGTTAACATGATAAAAAATTGATTTGATACATGCTTTACACTCATCAGGTAAATCTTCCAAAAAACCTGTATCAATCACTTCAGAAATCTTAAATAATTTAAAAATTTGTTAATCATTGCTGCATTTCGCTTACTATTCTTACTATTACAACCCTTCTATAAAAAATTATTAACATACCTGTTCAAACATGTCAATTTGGTTTAATTCAAATTGTTCACACTTGTAATAAACACTTTGATTGATTTCTTGAACTTGAAGATTATATAATGGAGTTGTTAAGTATTTTTTTATCAATGCTTCGATTGCAGGAAAAAGGAAACTTGCTGTTTGTAAGTCAACTACACAAGGAATGACTGTTTTCCAAAAAGCAAATTCCTTTTGTTTTTCTTCTTCTTTATGATGACGATGTATTACTTCAGCAAGTTGCAATAGAGAGGTGTTGGAATTAAGAATTTCACGTTTTAAAACTGCATTCATGCCCTCTACACGTGAAGTAGATTGTACTGCCGCGATGAAAATTGTTGAAGTAAAACAAAGTGCCCAATATGTTTTAGTCTTATACAAATTTCTCAAATATTCAGCAGCTTGTTCATATTTTTCAATCAATATGGTAAATAACTGTTCAAATATTTCTTGACTTAAGCTATTTCTAGCATTATAAAACTCGCTCAAAAATTATGAATATTTATTGCCCAACAATTTTGAAAACTTTTTATGAAGGTTTTGACTGATATGAAATATACAATGCATTGTGTAACAATTCTGGTAAATTTTAATACATGCAGCATCTACCGCCAGATCTGCATCTGTCATAAAAACCAAAGGAACTAACCCTCCACTTATAGTTTCATTTGACTGTTTTTTACCACCTGTTGCAAGTAGTGTACACTCAAAAATCCAAGCATGGGCTTCTGCTGTTTCGTCATCAATAAGCGCTTGACATACTAATCGTGAATTATTGTGATTATCAATAGTGACAAATAATGATAACGCCATATCGTATCTATTTGTTTTACAAGTAACATCGTTAATAATAACGTCATGATATTGAATCCACAGCTCCACTTGATTAGGAGACATCCAAAGCAATCTCCTTAAAACCTTTGTTTTATCAAAATTGACAAAAATTTGCCATTTAATATCATCTTCTTTTAATTTAAGAAGATGTTCATAGAGATTTAACGCATCTCTATTTAACTCTTTTGCTGATGGCCGGTATTTTTGTATTTCATAACGAAGGATATCAGATTGAATTTTTCGCTCAGGATACTTTTTTTCAAGATATACTCTTTGCTGTGTTATAGTAAGACGAACTTGTAATGTTAAAAACTTAATATCCTCTATCATTTCTCTCGTTAATGCTGTCTCTTTTGTGTAATTTATAAGTTGAGAATTAAGTTCATGACAATGTTCATTTACAATTGTTGTAACAAATACATATTGATTGACATTATTTTTTTCCGGTCTTGATAGGTTGATATGAGCTTTACAACCTAATCGAATAGTTTTACTAACTTTTGCTATCGTCTTATGATTTTCTTTAATATTATTGTTCAAAGATAATTCAGCTAACGGCTTTTTATATTTACCAGAGTGTTGACAAACAATAGCTAATTTCCTATATTCACCTGCTGGCATATTATTATTACGATCAGATCTATCTAATCGTGATTGAAACCCTTGAAGATTACACCATTCTGAAACGTAAGCTATAGCAGATGGCCATGAAATAAAATGCTGTCCAACATAAAGCTCAGATTGTTGAGAATTACTAGTTAAAGTTTCTATTGCTTCNAAAAAAAAAAAAAAAAAAAAATTATTGTACAAGTTTAAAAAAAAAACTCTCTTCCCTTTCTCTTACTTTTTTAATAGAAATAATATTTCACTCATTTTAAAATACTTGTATTTAAAGAAATTGCTCTAAATACCTGGTTAAAACACCAACTTTGTTTCTGCTACTTATCTCTATTGGGTCCAGCGGCACTTATTCATATGGTTTGAATGACTTTGGTTATAAGGTTGAAGATTCCAAGCCAGAAGGAAGAAATTTCCATTTCACTCAGTGGTAAAAGTTCATTTTCTTAATAATAAGGTGTTGTTGCTGGTGATAGTTTGGTGAAGTTTCCCTTTTTACCTAGGTTTTTACTCCTTCGGGTTGGTTTTCCTAGGGTTATAAATTTTTCTTATTTTTTTGGTGAATTTTTCTTGTCTTTCTTTTTTGCCTTCTGCTTTTTGGAGTTTTTCTGGGGGTAGGGGGTATCCCAAAATTGATCAATATCAGGTGGTTTGTAGATCTTTTCTTTTGAGAGAGTTGGGCATAATTTAAGGGGAGTACAGATCTTGGTGATCAGTTTTTGGTCAGGTGAGGTCAAGGTGGCATATGTTTGGACTATCATTGGTTTTTTACTGCAGTTTAGTTTAGATTGGAGGGATCATTCAAAATGAGGTGGGTGTCCTTTTGGGAATTGCACGACACTAAAAAGTTCCCCTTTAGTTTACTCTTAGGTAGTTTATTAACTCTGGTAATATAGTTACTTGGTGAATTTATTTTTATCGACCAGTGTGGGGGATTTTTATCAACCAGGGCTGGCAGTTTCGGTCTGATAATCTGTGGGATACGGGCTTCAACTTACCAAAACTTAGATTTACCTAGGCGAGAGTATGGGAGGCAGTAGCGTTATCTGGGTTTTTGTGTTGTGGGTCTAATTTTAGTATCTTCACATTGTACCTTCTTCCTATTAATTGCCCACCAGTTTGAGTAGATTATTTTCACGTGTAGTTTAGTTTGTATTTTTGTTAATTTTGACTTATATGTAATTTTCTACTTATAATCGTGTCCATGTTAGGTTTCTAACTGGAACCCATTAATAAAAATAAAAAATAAAAATTATTGTACAAGTTTATCAAAGTTTTATTATTTTAAATTGCCTATAAAATAGGTAAAAATTTAAAAATTTAATATTAAACCATGCAATCATATAATTAAATTTACCTAAAAAAGCCTTTTAAAATATATTTTATTTATAGATAAAATACTAGATTTTATTTAATAATAATGATCAAAAAAATCTTATTGAATTTAAACAAAATCAAATATAAATATTATTTTTTAGTAATTATTTAAGGGTTTAATTTTTATACGCCCCGCATTGCAACGCACCCTCTGATCATGTAATTTCATAAGTTTGATAGCTGATAAATTTTTAGATGGATAGTATACAACTATACATACTAAACGCTAACACGAATAATGTGTTAATGGCATCATTATGAGTTCTCTTTTTACACACTAAACGCTCAAACTATTTTTAGACAGACAATAAGTGTTAATAGAGTCATTATGAGTTCTCTTTTTACACACTAAGTGCTAAAACTCTTTTTAGACAGACAGTGAGTGTTAATGGAGTACATACTAATCGCTAACACTTTGGTTTATTTTTCAGTTTCTTGTGAACGTATTCCTGGATTTAGTAAGTGTTGATGGTAGTATGCGAATATGTGTTTCTTTTTACACATTTAATGTTAATGTAGACTCTTGAACCTAGTAAGTGTTGGTGATTGTCATGCGTTTTCTTTTACATATTTAACATTACTTTTTTGTAGACTAGGAAGTTGAGTGGGAAATTTTCAATTAGTTTTAGTGCTGTTTCTAACCATTTTTTACGGCTAAACAGTGATTTTTCTTCTATGATATATCATGCAATTCTTGAGTTCGTATCATTAATATGGTAAGGGTTCTGTAATAACATAAATTTTCATCATCTATCATATATAAGTTCTAACATAAATCTTTGCCGTGAATTTTGTAGTCCTGGGATGTTACGCATTTTTTTATACATCATCTTTTTATCTAGGCAAGTGTATCAGAAAAGTTATGTGCATCTGTAATATAAATAAGAAATCAGATGTAACTGATTAGATACAATTATCTAAAAAGAAACTTTTGATGTATTTTTATGCTTTCTTTTCTAAACTTTTATAAAACTTTTTTTTGCATTAGTTTTTTATTGTTTATTAAAGATTGATTCATTTATTTTCATATACATTTATCAAAAGACTAGCAACTAATATAAAATTACTGAATTATTTTTGATTTTGTGTACACGTGCTTGAATAATGTCTGGCTTGTCTACAAATTTTGCAATGCCGTTGACTTTTGTTAGATTTTGGAGGCTTCATGGCACTTTTAATTCTTGTTGTTCCTTTTGGTCGACCTTTTCTAGGTTTCTTAATTGGATTTTGAAGCTGCAAGCTATTTTCATTAGCTTCATCATCGATATCTATTTTACTATTAAGCTCATCCTCAAAATCATTAAGTTCATTAAAATAGCGTTGAAAAATCTCAAAACTTCACTCATCCTTTTTTTTGACCGCCTTAAGAATAACTTTTTTAGCCATTCCCATCACTTTTCCAAAGAAAAGTTTTTCATCTAAAGTAGATTTACTTATCTGCTCCCATTTATTAACATTGTTTTGTACTAAAGCCGTTAGATAAAAAATTTCTTGATTTATTTCTGGTTGCTTTAACAATTCAGTGTCCTGAAATTTAGCTGCAAATACGAAAGGTTCATGTTTTCCATCCAAGTCTAGATTTTTATACCAACGTGGTCTAATAAGTTGAATGTGAAACATTGCTGTATGTGTATGCATCATAAGACTAAAATAATGTCGGCAAACAATTACCCTTGTAACTGTTGCTAAACATGAACATAAATGGGCCGAATTGTTCATTAAAAGGATAAAATGTTTGAATTTTTGGGTATTTTGAACCGAAATACCCCAAATTTCTTTAATTTCTCTTTGGTTAACATGATAAAAAATTGATTTGATACATGCTTTACACTCATCAGGTAAATCTTCCAAAAAACCTGTATCAATCACTTCAGAAATCTTAAATAATTTAAAAATTTGTTAATCATTGCTGCATTTCGCTTACTATTCTTACTATTACACCCCTTCTATAAAAAATTATTAACATACCTGTTCAAACATGTCAATTTGGTTTAATTCAAATTGTTCACACTTGTAATAAACACTTTGATTGATTTCTTGAACTTGAAGATTATATAATGGAGTTGTTAAGTATTTTTTTATCAATACTTCGATTGCAGAAAAAAGGAAACTTGCTGTTTGTAAGTCAACTACACAAGGAATGACTGTTTTTCAAAAAGCAAATTCCTTTTGTTTTTCTTCTTCTTTATGATGACAATGTATTACTTCAGCAAGTTGCAATAGAGAAGTGTTGGAATTAAGAATTTCCCGTTTTAAAACTGCATTTATGCCCTCTACACGTGAAGTAGATTGTACTGCCGTGGTGAAAATTGTTGAAGTAAAACAAAGTGCCCAATATGTTTTAGTCTTATACAAATTTCTCAAATATTCAGCAGCTTGTTCATATTTTTCAATCAATATGGTAAATAACTGTTCAAATATTTCTTGACTTAAGCTATTTCTAGCATTATAAAACTCGCTCAAAAATTATGAATATTTATTGCCCAACAATTTTGAAAACTTTTTATGAAGGTTTTGACTGATATGAAATATACAATGCATTGTGTAACAATTCTGGTAAATTTTAATACATGCAGCATCTACCGCCAGATCTGCATCTGTCATAAAAACCAAAGGAACTAACCCTCCACTTATAGTTTCATTTGACTGTTTTTTACCACCTGTTGCAAGTAGTGTACACTCAAAAATCCAAGCATGGGCTTCTGCTGTTTAATAATCAATAAGCGCTTGACATACTAATCGTGAATTATTGTGATTATCAATAGCAACAAATAATGATAACGCCATATCGTATCTATTTGTTTTACAAGTAACATCATTAATAATAACATCATGATATTGAATCCACAGCTCCACTTGATTAGGAGACTCCAAAGCAATCTCCTTAAAACCTTTGTTTTATCAAAATTGACAAAAATTTGCTATCTAATATCATCTTCTTTTAATTTAAGAAGATGTTCATAGAGATTTAATGCATCTCTATTTAACTCTTTTGCTGATGGCTGGTATTTTTGTATTTCATAACGAAGGATATCAGATTGAATTTTTCGCTCAGGATACTTTTTTTCAAGATATACTCTTTGCTGTGTTATAGTAAGACGAACTTGTAATGTTAAAAACTTAATGTCCTCTATCATTTCTCTCGTTAATGCTGTCTCTTTTGTGTAATTTATAAGTTGAGATTTAAGTTCATGACAATGTTCATTTACAATTGTTGTAACAAATACATATTGATTGACATTATTTTTTTCTGGTCTTGATAGGTTGATATGAGCTTTACAACCTAATTGAATAGTTTTACTAACTTTTACTATCATCTTATGATTTTCTTTAATATTATTGTTCAAAGATAATTCAGCTAACGGCTTTTTATATTTACCAGAGTGTTGAAAAACAATAGCTAATTTCCTATATTCACCTGCTGGCATATTATTGTTATGATCAGATCTATCTAATTGTGATTGAAACCCTTGAAGATTACACCATTCTGAAACGTAAGCTATAGCAGATGGCCATGAAATAAAATGCTGTCCAACATAAAGCTCGGATTGTTGAGAATTATTAGTTAAAGTTTCTATTGCTTCAATAATACTTTTTTCTTGTGGAACTGCCATTTTATACTTAAAAAGGAAAGTTCATTCCTAAATATAAAACAAAAAAGGTAAGTTTGTCTTTAACTATAAAACAAAAAAGGCAAGTTTACCAAAAAAGCTATGATATGTTATTTTATTCTATCGCTATACAATTTCTTTATTGTAAACGTACTAAACAAAGAAACAAAACAAATATAAAAAGATTTACCTGCTGTAGTAAAATAAAAGAAGAAAGCTTCACCAAGTTGTAAAACAAAAAAAGGAAAAAGATTTACTAGTAATGAAACAAAAAGAAAGAGCTTTTGCCAACTGTAAAACAAAAAAAGAAAGAGTTTTTTTGATTACAAAAACAAAAAAGGAAGGTTCGTGTAAAAAATTTATGAGAATAATAAAAAAATCTTGGCATATCATTATTGGTAAAGCTCTGCACGAGCCGGCTCGAGCTGAGTTGAGCCAAAATTCGAGCCAGCTCGGCTCGATTAGAATTTTCGAGCTTGGCTTGTGTCGAGCTAACCTCGAGCTGAGCCGAGCCGAGTTTTAAGGTGGCTTGGCTCGAGCTGAGCCGAGCTTTTATCAAATTCTGCATATTTCTCGTGATTTTTTAATTTTGGCCGGAATTAAGTAATCGACATAGAAATTTCCTTTTTTGAATACATGAGTAACATTACACAATCCAAAAAAAGGCAATTTTATTTCTTATCAAAAATGGGGAAATGTGTTGCATAGGATTCCAAAAAAGGAAATTTCCATGCCAATCACTTAATTCCGGCCAAAATTAAAAATCACGTGACACCGGCAATAATAAAGAAAAAAAGTTCTGGAGCTCGCGAGCCAGCTCTGAGCTGAGCCGCGGCTCGTAAAAATTTGGCTCGGCTCATTTGAGCCGAGCTTTGATACAGCTCATTCGAGCTAGCTCGCGAGTTATGAGCTCGATATACCTGGCTCGCGAGCTGGCTCGAGCTGGACTGGCTCGTGCGGAACACTAATTATTGGTGTATATGTACAGCCAATCAAAATTTAATTATTATCACGTGATTTAAGAGGATGCATTGCTACGCAGGGCGTAAAATTATTATTTCCATTATTTAATAATTGGTTTAAAAACTATTATATGCCTACTTTTTCAAAATGCCAATATATAAATTAAAATTGTTATTTTATCATGTATTTTGATATGATCAACAAAATTACAATCAATCACATGAATTATTTCGAATTGAAACTTACCAGACCCAAGTCCCAAAGCCGAAGAAATTGCCACCTATAAAAAAAAAAGAAAATTAAATTAACAAACAAATTTTTTTTAAAAAAATTTCGAACCATTGAGCCCATGTGTTCAAAGACCCTGAAGAACCAGCAGTCTACAAAAAGAAGAAGAAAAATGGATTGCTATACATTTCGTTGAAAGTATTATTTACAAAAAGTCAAAAACTTCCTTACTGAATTTCCCTCCTTATAGTCCAAGCCAGTACAAAAAAATACAAAAGAAACGTTAGTTCATTCCTATATTTACATAACAATCCTCTTCCTCCTTCCCCTTCCTTATTTTTTACCTTGAAGTCCAGTTTGTGTTCAAGCCAGCGCCCTATAAAAAAAAAGCAATGAAAAAGAAACGTTAGTTCATTTCTTAAATTTAAAATAAAAAATTTTCCTTCCCATTTTCTATTTCTTACCTTAAAGTCCAGTTTCATGTTCAAGCTGACGCCCTACAAAAAAAAAATTAATGAAAGAAATGTTAAAACGTTTCTTAAATTAAAAAAAAAGATAAAAAAAAATTCCAACTCTTTCTCACCTTAAAGTCCAGTTTGTTCTGGCTGGAAATTCCTACAAAAAAAAAGAAATCATGTTAGTAAAGCGTTTCTACAAAGTTAATTTAAAAAAAAACCCTCACATTCCAAAGCTAAAACGAAGCCAAAGAAGCTTATCTATGTACTTACAGACCAAAGCTGAAGCAAATAAAATGGCATTCGTGAAAATTTTTTTTTAAAAAAAAATTATATATTTATTTACCTTTATCCAAGAGAAATAAAGTCAAAAAGATCTTAAGAAAGTCTAAAAAAAGGTTTGACTTTTTTGACTATCTTTCGCTGATCAGCCAGTTTCAAATGGGCAAATATTAGTCTAATCATAGATCATTACTAATTGAGGCCGAATTGACATTGATTTAGTGGAATTTTATCAAGGCTGAATATTCCTTTTTTGACTAGTGATAGACCATACTATCATTTTTATAACTTAAATTCTGTCTTTTTAATATTCATTTTTGAAACGATGTCATTTTTAATCTATCTTTCGTGTTATTGAAATTATTTTTTTTCTATCAAATTATTTTGATAAACTTCCCAATTGAAATAATCATAAACTATTCAATCTATTTTTTGAACCTTTGATGGTATCGTACATCTATCTATATTGAAAAGCATATGTATCATAATTTAAAATTTTAAGATATGATTAAAAAGATATTTTTACACAAAGAACGATTAATTATCAATTTTTAAATTAAGACGTTGAAGTTCTTATTTAAATTTATTCTACAGCCAAATAGGATCATGCTTTTTTTATCATGCTGATATTTTTTTATTAAGCTATAAATAAACTACCATTGCATAATTATTATTGATATTTTTGACGTTGTTTAATCAATAGTTTATTGTATTTATAAGATGATCGTTGGCGGCAGAATAACTAATATATATCCGATGATGATCTGCTTATATAATCCAATTTTCAAATTTGATTTGTCCTTTTTGCAGATTATGGGCGTAATAGCAGCATTTCATTTAGCCATATTTGTAAAATCATCATTAATAAATACGACGTCGATACGGTAATAATTTTCACACTTTCACAAATTTAAAAAGTATAAATATAAAAAATGGCAACGAACTTTTTTTCAAAACTAAGCCAAAATTATATTGAATTATTGGCGGATGATGAATATTATGATGTTACAATTGAAGTTGGTGAAGACCCTAATGTGAAAATCCTTCGTGCCCATATGAATATTTTGTATTACCGTTCTCCATATCTACGACGAACTTTGGCTTCTAATAATAGGAACAATAAAACTAATGATTTAGTTCATATCAAATTACCAAATATATCACCGGAAATATTTCAAATTATTCTAAAGTAAGTTTATAAACATTAATTTAATATACTTGAAATAATACATCATATATTTAATTCGAGCTTTATTATAGGTATATTTACGGTGGTATTCTTTCGTTGAATGAACAAGATGATTCGGAAATTTTTAAAGTATTATTAGCTGCGGATCAGCTACTTATTCAAGAACTAGTTGATTATCTACAAAATTATTTGATTGAAAATAAATCTAAATGGATGGAACAACAATTTGAACTTGTTCATCGAACAAGCTTTCAATCGAATTCTTTATTAGCAATTCAACAATTTTGTACAAATTTTATGGCAAAATCTCCAGAAAAGATATTTAAATCATTTGATTTCACTTCACTTTCTGAAAAGTCTTTAATCCAGCTAATTAAGAACGATGATTTGCAAATGAAAGAAATTGAAGTTTGGGAACATATATTAAAATGGGGACTTGCACAAAATCCTACACTTAGTCCTGATCCCACTACTTGGTCAGATGATGAATTCAAAACAATGGAAAATACTTTACAATTTTGTTTACCTTTTATTAGATTTTTTAGTTTATCATCCAAAGATTTTTTACAAAGTGTTCGTCCTTTTAAAAAACTCTTAAAATATAAACTTTATGAAGACTTATTAAATTCTCATTTAGATCCTAGTAGTAAACCAACCGATGATATCCCACTTCCAAGGAATCTTAAAATTGATGGAATTTTTAATTCAAGTTTTATTGATAATTTAAGTATTATATCAACTATTTCAAGAAGGATAGATAAAATAGATGTTAGTAATAGTTTTGCTCATTTAAAAGAACCGTATAAATTTAAATTAATATTAAGAGGAAGTCGAGATGGATTTACTCCTATAAAGTTTCATGAATTATGTGATGGTATACCTAATACTGTTACATTTATTAAAGTAAAAGAAACACAAGAAATTCTTGGTGGATATAACCCTTTAAAATGGGAATCTTCTTCTAGTCGGGGCCAAACTAAAGATAGTTTTATTTTTTTTTTTAAGAATAATGATGCAATAATTAGTAATATAGAAAAGACAGGGCATGCGATTTATTATGGTAATAACCGTGGTCCACATTTTGGTGATATTATTATATGTTCTAATAAGGGCGAAAATACAGACTACGATTATTGTTGTTATAAAAAACGTTATTATGAAAAAAAGATAAGAGATATTGAGGATAAATTTTCTATAGAAGATTATGAAGTATTTCAAATTATAAAGTGATAGCTTGGTATTACTGCAAGTTATATTTGTTTTAACTTAGATTTTTTCACCTTTAATAAAATAATAATTTATTTTATTTCACATATCCTTTCCCAATTTATTCAATTTATACTTATATATCAATAGTAAAATAGCCGTGTGTATTAGAACATTTCATAGACCAGACTCTTATATGGATGCATAAAATGAACTATTTGTCATATGACTAATATACTTGATTAACAATATTAAATGAACCAGCTTTATCATTACAATTTTAAATTTGTTTGCGTTAGTTCCTTTCTATAATTTAAAGTTGTACTATACTACATTATTAATTATTTTTATAATAGTTAAGATATAAATGGATGAGATTTTAGGTACTGGATGTATATATTTTATTAAATTTGCAGGTACGGTACGAAGTCACCTAATAAATAAAATGTCTATAATATTTTTTTCAATTTTTAAAATTTACCATTAAAAAGTTGAAGGAAACTTTTTTATAAAATTAGTATTTATTTTGTCTATAATACAATCAATCATATTCAAATTCTTATGGTATGATTAGCATCGTACCCATCGTACTTGTACATAATTAATAATACCTTACTTATTACTATACACTCAAATGGATGATTGTAATTTGTAAAATAGTCTTTGCTAGCTCATCATTAAGACCATGCAAACTTAATTTTCGGTTCTCATAACAATTTTGAAAATAACCTGGCAACCCGGCTTTTAAAATTTTTTTTTGAAATTTAACAAAAAACTGACCCGGCCGAGATATGAGAACCGAAAAATTAAGTTTGTATGGCATAACTTAGTAATTTTTAATGGTTTCTAAATGTATCTTATAAGCAGATGGTTTTAGTGAGTTTAAAATATGGTTTCGTATTTTTGTATATGAGAATTAAAGAAACAATATACTCTGTTCCTTATATAATAACTTAAATAAATTGGAAACCAAAAAATTTTTCGTTAATTTTCCTAATTCTGAAATAAAGTTACTATAGTGGCGATAAATTACATTATTGAGCTATATTAAAAGATTGAAAAAAAATTGAATAAAATAATAAATGTAGAAATAACAAAACAAATAAACCCATAATTATACAATAGCAACCATATCTTTCATGTTATCTTAATTTATTTCTTTTCTAACAAATTATTTTGACAAACAACCATTATGTTATATTACCATCCCTATAAAAAATTTTTATCCGAATATTTCCATTATTTCTCCGTGTCTTCCGTAAAAATTCCGTGAAAATGATACATTCACGGATATCCGTGTTAGCGAGATGAAAATTTCCATGATTTAAGGCTATTAATTCCATGAAAATGATACATTCACGGAAAAAACATGGAAAGATAAAACACGGATCAGATTTTTTACAGGGCATTGATATCTTCAGTTATGAAAAATTTCTAGCCATGTCATAAACTATAATTTATTGTTCATTTTTTTGTTATACTTTCGATAGTATCGTACATCTATCTATATTAAAAGCCTATTTACAATGAATTAAAATTTTAAAATTTAAAAAGGGTATTGCTATGGTGATGTATCGCCAGTGTCATGTGATATATAAATCATAAATTTTTGCTGTAACATAACGTTACTGATTTTTTTATTTTCACGACATTATACCAAAGAATATGAATAAAGACGAGTTAATTGGAGCAGAAGGGACGTATAAAAAAAGAACAGGAGTCAACAGATTTAAGGTGCCAATGCAATCAATATACAAGGGTGACAAATTTGTAGACGCAAAATCTGATCTATTATCAACAATACCAAGGACCAAAGAAGAGCACGAAGAACTCGACAATTTGAATAATAATTTTAGTGCAAGATTAGATGAATTACGAAAAGGGAAGGACTTGCCAGGCGAGAAAGAAAAGACAAATGAGGATAAAGACGAGATTAACAAGAATAAAAAACGTGTCGTGACAACATAAGGACGAAGAGAAGATTCCGACAGCAATAAACAAATTTGTCCATTTAATTTTAATTTAAGAAGAAAATTTTGGATTGAAGAACACGCGGACAAAACGAGAGATTTTGGACGATTTCGGAAATATCTCCATAGAAAAGTGTAGATTTAGTATTTTATTTTCTCCTTAATGTTTTAAAATATTTTTTTAAATTTTAATTCTTTGCAATTTTAATTTTAGTTTATGTTTAGTAAAAGTCTATATGTCAAGAAAATTTTAGGTAAAAGAAAAACAGAGATAATATTAAAAAATCGAAAAAAATTATTAAAATTAGAATAGTAGCACGTAATTAACAATAATTTTAGACCATACACAAAATAGTTGAATCTTAAATTAGAAATTTTAGATAGAATAAACTTAGTTATAGGGGATAGAAAGCTTGACTTTCTAGTCTCTAGGTGCTTTTGTACTTAATTATGAATCTTTGATTCTATTTAATTAATAAAGCGCGTTACTATTTTTTTTTTTTTAAAAAAAAAAGAATATGAATAATTATCAAGGGTATAATATTACAAAAATCAAGAAAGATCAAGAATGTAACCAAAAAATATAACAGATAATACGTACCAAAGATCGAAAGTATGATACATAAAGATCAAGAATGTGATATACCCCAAAGATCAAGAAAGAAATATATTAAAGATCAAATATAAGGATGAAAATAGCAAAGATAAATGCAAAAATAAAAGAAGAGAGTTAATACACATTAATTAGCAAAAAAATAAATCATCAACCAATTATAGCTAACAATATACATCCAGAACTTACCGAAGTTTTAAGAAGACATGATAACTAGCAAAAATGAATGTTAATGTTTCTAACGTTCTTTACAAAAAAAATACCCTCCTCCCCACCTAACTTACCGAGATATCCAAAGGCAATGTCTCATTTTCCCTATTAAAATAAAAGAAAAACAAGAACATTAGAAACGTTTCTAACGTTCTTTACAAAAAAAAAGTACTCCTTTCTCTCTCTTAACTTACCAAAATGGACCTTTATTTCCATACATTTTTTTTTTAATTAACTCTCTCACAACAATACCAAGATGATAAATCTTATGAAATTGTTGATAAATGGCAATAACATCACTTGATAGGGGGTCTTATCGAGGAACTTGAGAATGCATCAGTTCATCAAGTATAGGAGGAAGTTGTCCAAAGTCTCCAATAAGAATTATTGATCGGCCATCAAACACTTAATTTCTGTATTTTGGCTTTATTAATATAGTATAAACTTCATGTTAATACAATGTAGACGTGGTAAATCTACTCAATAAAGTAACCTATCTAATAAAAAAATTTATCTATAAAATAAAAAAAAATCCCAAGAATAATTGGAGATTCATTTCGTGCCCTACTACGATCTATCCATTTTTGCATTACGTCATAAACAAACCTATCTTTAGTTATCTTTGGTTCGTTTATTATTTCCAAATGATGGAATTAATGTGCGACCTTCTTTTCATGATAAGTAATAACACGGTTGGACTGAAACGCTAACTTCTTCACAACAATATGTGTTCTGGTCAAAATTTTAATGTTTGCAACAAAAGATTCTATAATGGTTTAAATCTTCCCAAATATAGATTAGCATTGATGGTCGCTTCATAGAATATTCTGCCGCTGAATATAACTTTAGAACGTGCCGCCCAATTGAATTCACCTCTTGCTTAGCATTCTCTGACGCTTGGCTAATAACTTGATCAATTTTAACTTGAATTGCACTACAAATTCATATATGTGTTAAATTCTCTATACTTCTATAACAACGAATACATCTACCAGATTCATAAATTTCAGGATTGATTACATTTATTTAATAAATCCATCGTAGATAGTATTTACAAAAAATTTTTAATACTTAATGCCACTAAATCACTCGTTCTAAACGATATTTCTTGCTTGTAGTCTTCCATAATGATATCATAGCCTCTTGAATATTCATTCTATATAATTTATTGCTATCTAAAACCAACCATGACGCTTTGCAATAATTTTGATTTGGTTCCTTATACAATTCTCTTGTCAGTTTTCTACAAACCAAATTACCAATTAAATAAACTTAACGACCAATTCGTAATTCGTAAGAATTATCGTGTATAGCCATGAGCCATCCTAACTAAAATGTCTTGATAATTTTATGGAATCTTGTTGAGAGAAAATACGAATATTTCATAAACCTTGACCACCTATACTACCATATTTGATTCTTTTAAATAAATATTCCCCCATAAAAAACTATTATATCTTTTTCTTCATCTGATGAACCGTCAAATTGCTTGTATGTATAATAACATTACTGTTATCAATTATAGTCATAAGCGCACATATGATCGCAACTAAAACACACCAAATTATTGGTTTTACACAAAAATCCTTCATATCCAATTCCATATTTCCCACCTTTGCTAACTACATATGTAAAATATTATAACTACCTGATTTATCATACTCAAATTAAGAAAACTATTTTGTATTTTTTTAACATTTAAACATCCTCCTTTAAAAATTTTAATCTAATTGAAACGTTTATCAATAATTAATAATTCATCTAATTCATTATCTACAGTATGAAACAAACTCCAACCATTTTGTACGTAACGTTTATTCCTAAGTTCATCGTAAATATATTTATTGATCTCATAACTGCTAAATATTACTCTCGTATTTTTGTCTTTGATCAGCTTATTTTCGATTTCAATAAACCATCTTGGAGTTTTACTTTTACTTTTACTACTTCTAACAAAGATTATATTTCGTTTTTCCCTAAAAAAAAAGCCCCAAAAAACCCCTTTAAAAAAAAATTCACGTAATGGGTCTGTGTAATAAAACGGTTAATTTCATGTGATAAGGGGTCGGCGATGAATCGACTCGTCAATCTCGTCATGCATATTTCCTTTAACTTTAAATATGATTAATACTTTCACCGAGGAATATCAATTTTAGATTACAATGATGATCAGCCAATATAGTCCAATTTTGTCCTCTTTTGCAGATTATGGGCGTATATTTCATTTAACCAAATTTGTAAAAGTCAGCATTAATAAATACGGCAACTCTTCCACAAAATTTGTAAAATTATAAACATAAAAAATGACAACAAAATTTCTTCCAAAACTAAGCCAAAATTATATTGAATTATTGGCGAATGATGAATATTATGACGTTACAATTGAAATCGGTGAAGACCCTAATGTGAAAATCCTTCGTGCTCATATGAATATTTTGAGTTGCCGTTCTCCATATTTACGACGAACTTTGGCTTTTAATAACAGGAGCAATAATACTAGTGATTTAGTTATCAAATTACCAAATATATCATTGAAAACATTTCAAATTATTTTAAAGTAAGTCTATAAACAAATTTAATATACTTATAAATGATACATCGTATATTTAATGATTTTTCTATTATAGGTACATTTATGGTGGTGTTCTTTCATTGAATGAACAAGATAATTCAGAAATTTTTGAAGTATTATTAGCTGCGGATAAGCTGCTTATTCAGGAATTAGTCGATTATTTACAAAAATATTTGATTGAAAATAAATCCGAATGGATGGAACAACATTTTGAACTTGTTCATCGAACAAGTTTTCAATCGAATTCTTTATTAGTACTTCAACAATTTTGTACAGATTTTATGGTAAAATCTTCAGAGAAGATATTTAAATTACTTGATTTCACTTCACTTTCTGAAAAGTCTTTAATCCAGTTAATTAAAAGAAATGATTTGCAAATGAAAGAAATTGAAGTTTGGGAACATGTATTAAAATGGGGACTTGCACAAAATCCTACACTTAATCCTGATCCTACTACTTGGTCAGATGATGAATTCGAAACAATGGAAAAAACTTTACAACATTGTTTACATTCTATTAGATTTTTTAGTTTATCATCCAAAGATTTTTTACAAAGTGTTCGTCCTTATAAAAAACTCTTAAAACATCAACTTTATGAAGATTTATTAAAATCTTATTTGGATCCTAATAGTAATCCAACTAATGATATTTTACTTCCAAGGAATCTTAAAATTGATGGAATTATTAATTCAAGTATTATTAACAATTTAAGTATAATTTCAACTATTTCAAGACGGTTAGATAAAATGGATATTAGTAACAATTTTGCTCATTTAAAGGAACCGTATAAATTTAAATTAATATTAAGAGGAAGTCGAGATGGATTTACTCCTAAAAAGTTTCATGAATTATGTGATGGTATACTTAATACGGTTACATTTATTAAAGTAGAAGGAACGGAAGAAATTCTTGGTGGATATAACCCTCTAAAATGGGAATCTTCTAATTCATGGGGAAAATCTCAAGATAGTTTTATTTTTTCTTTTAAAGAAAAGGATATTAAAAGTGTTATTATCAGTAATATAAAAGATAAGAAACATGCATTTTATTGTGGCGCTGATTACGGTCCAGATTTTGGTGATATTATTATATTTTCTTATAAAGATGAATATAGAGATTATAAACATAGTTATTATCAAAAGCGCCATTATGAAAAAAAGATAACTGATATCGTGGATAAATTTTCTATAGAAGATTATGAAGTATTTCAAATCATAAAGTGATAAGGTTGGTATTATTACAAAATATATATTTTTTATTTAGATTTTTTTACCATTACTAAAATGATAATCTATTTAAGATGATTTACTTTATGTTTATTAAAAACTGAATGTACATTATTATTTCACATCCTTTTCCCAATTAGCATGCGTTAATCTATTACAAATCGTATTTTTAAAATTGCGCATTAAAAGGGTATACACTTCAACGTTATAATTTATAAAAAGTAGATTATTTGGAATCAGAACATTTGTCATTTAATCTCATAGGCCAAACTTTTATATGGATGCATAAAATGAAGAATTGATTCCTATTTACTACACCTTTTCTCTATTTAACAAACTTTTTGATCAACAATACTAAACGAAATAACGAATTAACAACTAACTTTTGTTCCAATTACAATTTTAATTTATTTGTGGTTAATTTTTTTTCCATAATTTTAAGAGGTTTTGCTATACTTCATTTTTTAACGATGTAATTGATGGTATGTAAAATAAATGATGTTGTTAACTCAATAATTTAGAAATTTTTGTTAATTTTTTAATGATTTCATAAATGTATCTTAACAGAAGGTTAAAGTATTTTATTATATGATGAACAAATTAACTTTAATAAATGGGCTACTTATTAATCGAGAAACCAAAAACTTTGCTATCTTTATTGAAAAGAGTTGACCAATTTTCCTTCGTTCTATTTTATTTATTTGTTTGGTCACATAGTGATTGATAAATTAATGTGATTTATTGATGATTAAATTTACAGTGTTTTATCATGCTAACAATTATTTCGAGTTATCCTACAGCCAAATAGAATATGCTTTTTCATCATGCTACAATTGCATAATTATTATTGATATTTTTCCTGATACTAAAAGGTAAAAGGACACGTTACGTTAAGCCGCAAATAGTTATAAGTATGATCATTGGCGGCTTTAGAATAACGCAGTTATTTGATCATCCGAACTGCTTCGCAGTTCGGTGATATTCTAGCCAGATCATCGATAATTTTTAAATGAGCTTGGCATACTAATAACGAAGATTAGGGTGGAGCAAGATTTTATCTTAAAAAGAGTAGGAATTTTTTTTTTAGTTTGAGAACGTTACTTATCTTTTACAATACTAACAATACTTTGGTTCAGTAAATTAATCTTAGAATGATGAATAATTATTTATTGTTATATATTTTCGTCGTAAATTATTATTAATTTTTAAATTAATTTTTTTCATTTGGATTAGAATTTTATTTACCTATTTGAGTAAATATAAAATATAACCACTATCTAATAACTAATACATATTATTTTTGACCAAAAATTCTATTTCAGTATCTAATCATCCGGTTTAGTGGAAAAAAATATCTACATTTACAACATTTTGAAAATTTTCATAATAAATATTGACAAAAAAAATATAATTTTTAATTTTATATATATAGATATGATGTTGAATAAATTATATTCATCGTTCAGCCCAATAGGATCATGCAGATTTTCATAGACTATTAGACATAGCAATAACACAAGATTGTTATGGTATGAATATTTTGTAGGAAAAGTTTAAATAAAGCTAAAAAAGTGAATTAAAAATAGCATAAAATGAAATTTATAGAAAGTTAAATAAAGCTTATTTATGATATTATTAAGATGTTATTAATTAACGCATGATCAAAAGCGTCAGAACGATAACACTTTTATTATGACCAATATAACTACTCCCATCCAATAATATTTATTATGGAATTATATTAAATAAAATAAAAAAATCAATAAATTTCTTTATTATCTAAATTATTTAACATAATCTCGTCCAAACTAATAATTTATGTTGCTATGCAGTATCTAATGTTAATAGAAAACGTAATTATTGTACAATTTGCTAAAAAAAAGCAGAAATAACGAATCAAAATAAACTCATAAGTTGTGATTTAAACTTTTAAAGGATATAATATTGGGTTTTTTTTTATGAAAACTATATGTAATTATAAAATATGTTCGATAAAGTATTTATTTATCCGAATATCAAAAAAATAGATAAAAAAATTGATCGTCACCAGTTTCAATAATTTTGAAAACCACAATAACTTAAAATATTTATTACTATTTATTTAAAATTTCGTTAAGAAAAATGGCAAATTTAAATACTGCCTAATTAATTATTAACTTTCGAAACTGTGCAACAATTAAACTAACGATATTTTCAATTTATCTTTTATGTTAAATTTTTTTCTTTTCTATCAAATAACTTTGATAAACTTACATTTTACTACTATATATTACTATTAATATCTTGGGTTATGAAAAATTTTAACAATTAAAATAGTCATATTATCGTTTATTGTTCGTTTTTTTATTAAAGTTTTATATTTTCTATTACAAATAAATATGATAAAAAATAAATAATACTTTTATTGATGTCAATTTTAAATTATAAGTTTAATGAGGTTATAAAAACAATTTTAAGATTAACGAGATATCCTGAAATATGAATCGTCTGTATTGGATTAATCGTCGGTTTCGAAATTAGCGTGATCAAGTGATTTATCGATCAATTATAAAAAAATATATATATACATATGTATTAGTTATTTGATAGGGGGGTTAGAATATCACCGAACTGCGAAGCAGTTCGGATGATATTTTAACCCCCCTATCAAATAACTGTGTTATCCTGCAGCCGCTGATGATCATGCTATATTAAACTATTTTTGGTTTAACGCGTCCTTTTAGCCTTTTTTAAACTATTTCTGCTTATAAATACGATATTAAACTATTTCCAGTTTAATACGACGCGTCTTTTTAACCTTTTTTAAACTACTTCCTCTCTTTTTCTTCATTTATTTCTTTCACTTATATTCAAATAAAATGCCACGATTAGGTTCAAAAAATAAGGTATTATTCATTTATTAATATTATTGCTTTATTTTTCTTTCTTTATAATAACATTTTGTATTGTCTTTTTTTAGGAAAAACTAGAAGAGACCACTACTCCAGTAAAAGACAAGGTTGACTTTTATCGTGAATTTTCAAAAGTAAAAAATACAGTTAAGGAAACAGATATAAGGATAGGCTTACTAGAGAAGTTTCGAGATGAACAGTTATATATAGGAAAGATTCAGGAAGTGGAATCTGAACAAGATTTAATTGAACAATTATGCTCTTTTTTTGCTAATATGAAGAAGAAAGATGGTGCTGACTATTCTGTTAATTCTATTAGAGCTTCTCTTGCAGCTGTTAATCGTGTTCTTCAAGAAAAATCAAGAATTAAAAATATTGATTTATATAATGATTCTCGTTTTAAAGCTATAAAAGAAGTTGTTGATGGAAAAATTAGATTTTTATCTAAAAATGGAAAAGGTGAAACTAAAGGAGCAGATTCGCTAGAAGCTAACGAAATTACCCAAATATTAAATCATAGATTATTAGATGGTACCACACCTGAAAGATTATTGAGAAGAGTGTTCTTTATCAATGCAATATATCTTGGGCTTCGTGGAGGAGAACATGCATTACTTAATGGAACTGATTTTGTTAAATGTGATGATGGTGGATACAATGTTTTTATTTATTGTTCCAAAAACAACCAACGTGGTCTTACTGAAAATCGAGGAAAGGCAGACAAATTGGTTTTAGCAAATCATCCAGAAGTTACTTCATTTCTTGATAAATATTTATCATCACGTCCCTATGGTGCAGATCCCGATTTCTACCTTCAGGAAGTTGAAGAAGAATTTGGTAATATATTTTAATAGTAATATTTATAAATATTTATTAATAAAAATTAATACACTTCATTATTTTAGCTTTGAAAACAGGAATTTGGTATAAACCAAAACACGTAGGATTCAGAAGATTAAATTCATTTTTAAATGAAATTTGCAAAATTACTGGCATTAACTTTAGTGGTAGGAAAATCACTAACCATTCTGGGCGACGTGCACTTATCCAAAATTGTGAAAAAATGGGCATTCCTAAAGAAGAAATAAAATTACTTTCTCGCCACCGCTCTGATGCTGGATTATTATCATACACTTTACCTCCTGATGATAAAAAAGATGAGATTATTGGAAAATTTATGGATAAAATTCATGGAAAACCAACTTTAGGTATATAGAATTTATTCAATTATCATAATTACTTACTGTTTTAACTAAATATATTAAATATCTGATTTTTATTTATTAGATAAGGTGAAAGTACCAGATATATTAAATGGTCAAGTTTCATATAATGAACAAGTAATTGGAAAAGAAAACAATAATATTAAAACTGCAAAAGAAGGTAATTCTTTATTTATATTATTAATATGTTTTATTTTGTAACTTATTAATTTGTCTAATTTATTTTTTTAGTATTTTACGAAAATCAACAAAATTCTCTAAAAAAGCTATTAGATTTAACTGACATAAATCAACAATTAGAAATTTCAATGAATATTGATCAATTTAAAGAGTTATTTAATTGCGGTTTAATTTCCAAGCTTAAAGGAAAGGTTAATTTGTCATAGCAAATTTATTATAAATTGAAATAGTATCTATATTTGCGGTATAATATTTAGTACATGATATTTATGATATTTAGTAGTGCTCCTACCGGGTCGGATTCGGTCGGGTTTGGAGAATATATCTGACTCGACTCGGCAAAAATAGAAATGATCCGATTTTAACCCGACCCGAGTACAGTCAACTCTCTTTATAGTCACACATTTGGGACAGTCCATATTTGGTGATTATAAAGAGATGTGACTATATAAAAAATTTCTTATATTTGTATATCATAATTCCGGCCAAAATTAACATAATTTTAGCCAGAATTATACTTAAAACTTTATTGTATTGTAACTTCGCCAATATTAATCGTAGAGAGATGATCTTACCGCCATTCGATTCGTCTTGATG